TAAAGATTCATCTCCAATCTGCCCGTGGCTTCCAAACGAGAAGGTTATCAATGAAAGTAAGTGGTGTAAGCTAAACCTAAACAGGGCAAACTTCCAGTTCTTAATTTTTATATCAAGCGATATCACTGTATTCGGAAGAAAACAAAGTCATTCTTTATGTGGCACTGCCATTTAATTCTCACTGTGCGTTGAAGCCAACGCCGCTGTACGCTATTCAACCATCGATCTTGTCCCTTCGTCTGAAAGATGGTCTTCCTGCTGTGTAAAAATAGTGACTTGACAGAGGCAGGGTACAGGAGGATTTATATGGAAAGAGTAACTCCATTGTTAGACCAAATATTGGACGGATGTTCCAAAGCACTAAAGAAGAGGGCAATCGTCATATCTAACTCTAGATGAATAGTGCTACTGGTAAAGAGATACTTAAATTTGTCGACTTCCTCTATGGCAATTCCGCAATGTTCCAGAATGGAAGGAAGGCGCTAAAGAAGTTACCAATAAAGTAAATAAGTACAAACGGGGTGGTAGAAGCGAGTCAAAAACAGAAAGAAGAAAGGAATTAAGAATGAAAGGATAGAATGAAAACTGTAATAAAACGAACGGATTAGCTGAGAAATAAAGGAACAAAGGAAAAAAAACTAAAGAGCTTAAGAAATCAGTGAGGGAAAAATGAAGGAGTAGAAAGACTGAGGAAATAAATAGTTATTTATGAAGTTTCAAGAAATGTTCAGCTTCCAGTTTACTTTCAATGCAGAATGAAAGTAGATATATTCATAAAATTGTTTAAAAAAATTTATAAAAAACTCAAACGCACATAAAATCAGACATCTGGGATTCCCATGATATCGCTGTTTTGTTGGACATCTTGAAACACTCCTGCTGGAAATATGTCTGACTCCGTTGCAGCCCTTGGTGCATAAACGGTTTTTCATGACACTTTCGCGGTGTTTAAATGTTTTTCTAAATGTTTGTTGTTCTGCTTCTAGATATTTTTTTCACCGTGCGCCCATTTTTTAGAAATTTCATGACAATGTTTCATAAATCAAGATGTTGAAACTGCACCATGGGAAAAAAGATAAAGGCAAAATTAGATCTGTGGACATGTTGATCGGAAACAACGGGGTTAAACGAGAAAACAATTTCAGTTTGCGGTTCATCGAAAATGCCTAGAATCCCTTGAAATTCATTTTGAAGTATACCTACAAGTCTACGATAATTTGGCCATGTGTTGCGAATGCCCTCACAAAGGAAGGCTAAGCAACTCTTTCTTGTGAAATCGACCGGCAGAAGGCCCAGGGGACGGCCAAAATTAACCTGGTGCAAATATACGGAAGAAGTCTGTTCCAGACTCCAGTTGCCTTCAGCCGAAACTCAGACTCTGGCACAGGATCGGGAACGTTGAAAGCTCCGTCTGCCTCTGCGATTAGAAAGGAGAAGCGGTGACGGAAGATGAAGAAGACCCATACGTCTGAAAAACAGGTTTGCCGTTTCATGACAACCTTTGATGAGTTTATGAAAATCAATAGAGAGCATTGAAAAAGTAAATAAAGGCCAGAACAGCTCCTCGTTCAAACAAAGCGAGTTAAAATCGTTTGATTTTGGACTTGATCGAAAACCGCGACATTCTCAAAGGTGCTTAAATTGAAAACCGCTCTTAAACTTAACAACAATTCCAGCAGTAACAGAAGCCTCCATACAATAATTCCCTTTATTCCCAAACTCTCTAATAAAACTAAGCAGTAGCCGAAGAATGAAGGTTTTCGCATCTACTACACAATGAGCTGTTCAATGGGATAGAAGATCTGTGGACAACTTCATCAACCGAAGAGAAGGTGGTGATTATAGTTCAGAAGACCGAGTGCAATGGCTCTAAGAAGACTGGGCAAAAGGGTTACGGACGGAACATGTAGCAGGTATGAGGGATGGAAAAACGGTCATTCTGCCATCGTCTCCCACATTCTCTACTTGGGACAATCCTTCAGTCGGAAAAAATGTCATCTGGGTTGCTAAAGGGGGCCATTAGTCAAAAATCGTTATCCATTTTAGCCAACAAAAGACGAGTGTGTAACGAATGTATTAGCTGTTTTGGGTGGACTTTCGAAAAACTAATGACATACTCATTATTAATATCGCGCTGTTTTACTTGTGTATTATGACCTTGATGATGACACTGCCGTACGGCGCCGAAACGCCTCAGTGAGTAAAAAAATTTACAGCAAACATTCCCCTTAAGCATGATTCACGAACCGACAATTATTAATTGTTATTCAAGCAGGCAACGAATCAATAGCCTTTTTCGTAGTTATCCGATATAAAACAATTAATATTTTAAGAAGTGAAACCAGGAATGATGCAGAAATATGATAATGAAAATGTACAGCAACCCGCTAATCGTTTAATGACATAAGCACACATACGGTGTTTCAAAATAAGATTAATTACACGCCGATAAAACAGAAGTCAGCAGCCGCTTTAAGAAACATCGAAGGTGCCAAATCGTTAAAGCAAATGAACAGAAATCAATTCTGCCAAGTCATGAGTTGTGAACAATCATTTTAACAGTGACGCTGCCAACACGAATTATACCAAAACCTCAGAAGACGAAGAGTAAACTGTTCCTCTGAGTGCGACGAAGAAAGCTTTTATGAACAGAGGACACCAAAGTTAGAGCACGTATAAGCCGAGAATGATATATTCACATAGGTGTGAACATAGAATCGAATGGAATGATTCAAAATCAGTGTCTTTTTTAATCTGTAAAGAAAGTCCAGTGAAAGTTGTGTGCCATTTGAATGAGACAATCGTATGAGCTGAACATGCGATATAGATAGATAAACACTACTGAAAGGTGATCGATTTCAAGATCAGGGTTTGCGACGTAATAATGTTGGCATATGTCTAGAAAGAGAGTGATATTTAACTTTATTAATATGTTTATGTACGCTGTCTAGTCGGACGTCATAATGTGCACTCAGATCCGTAGCAGTTCCGGTTAGCTGCGGCGTAGCCCGGCATAACAACAAGCCAAAGGCCAGATCTGACGGCGCGTTGCGACGCCCCATCGCTGCTAGTTGACTGCGCGATTTAAGAGGCCACGGCTGTAAGGTATTTTAGTATTCGCTGGCACAACCTCTTGCTCATTAGAAATGATGTTTCAGCAGCTGCTAATCTTTAATATGAGTCATATGGATTCGTACGCTGGAGTGTGTCAGCAGGCGAATAACTCGTCCAAGACCAGAATTCCCAGCGTATTCACCGCCCTCAGATCCTAGGTGTTTCAGATGTTCGGGAGCGATTGATTGACAAATCTTTGTATATGTTTCCGTTTTAACCCGTCGATCATTCTTTTTATATCTCTGATTCTGAATAACGCGTATACATTAAGTGTCATCGCAAGTTATATTACATACGGACGTCATAATCGTGTGAAATGCATCTGGCTTTGGCACTGAGGGGGCAGACTGCAAGTACCTCGAAAAT